TCCCAATACAGGGAAAACAAATCTATAGTGGGATAAAGCAGACCTGTGGCTGCCCAGAGAGGAGGAGGAGGAGGGAGGGTGAGGAGCAATTGATTGCAAAGAGCCATGAGGAACTTTATGGGGGATGGAAATGCTCTATACCGTAACTGATAGGGCTAAACAGGTATAAGAAATAAACAGTACACTTAATAGAGGATTATTTTATTACATATAAATTATACCTCAGTAAAACTGATTTTAAAAGTTAAAAGAAAAAAAAAAAAATCAAGACACTGTGACAGTCAAGATATTCGTTCTAGTCTCACATGGATCTTGAAGGGTTCCCAGCAATTCATTTGCTTCTATTACTACCTAAGCAAAGTTGTTTCAAATCTACACAATTTCATCAATCCCTCTATCCTACTTCTACTTTCAAGTTGTCTTTTCACATGATTTTACCTTCTACTTCACAAAGGAAACAGAGAACATCAAGCAGAAATACCATCAACAATCTGTTGCCCTTATTTATCTGCTACTTCCTCTTCACTTATCTGTATTTGTGTACATCTTTACTACTTCCCTGCTAACTCAGAAGACAAGGTGCCCCTACTTCCCAGCTAAGCTTACCCCATCCTCTGAAACCTTGCTCACCCAAATGTAGCACTCTCCTCAATAATATCCAAGCCTCTCTCCCTAAAAACATTTTCTCAAGAAGACCTCCCAACCAACCTGATTTCCCAAACTGTTCTTCTTTCTTTCCCTTCATGTCAGTATTAATTTTTCTTTCCTTCTTCAGTCAACCTCAATGTGATGTGGGCACTGAGCATTCATTCAAATTACTCTCTTTGAGATATGTTACACAACTTTAAAGGCAGCATAAATGTACATGCTATATGCAGCAACAAAAACACCTACATATCAGAAAACAACAATAACAAGAAAACAAAGAACAGGACAGTGAGTCTCTGATAAAGGGAAGCAAGTGCCCTTAATCAAATGGCATAAATGATTAGTCACCCTGACACATATATCCCCATGGGATGGGGATTCTTAACAGCTGTGATACTTGGGTAAATTCCTGAGAGTTTTATAAACTCCACTGAAATAAACTTCATATATAAATTTATCATTGAAGAGAAGATCAATTTTATCAGATTCTCAATGAAGTCAGCAACTCAATCCCACAATTGTATAACTAACATCCCTATTTTGCTTTCCCTTTAAGATTTTCCAACTCCCTTTGTCCTGAGCTATAGTCAAAAGAATTTATTTTCTATATCATATTCCTAACATTACAAAACATGCTGGACACTTGATAAAACTATCCAGCTGTATTTCTCACTGTGAATGAAGATGCTGCATTCTCACATAGCAGTAAAGAACAATACCACATAGGAACCTGGAACATTAGGTCCATGAATCAAGGTAAATTGGATGTGATCAAGAAGGGGATAGGAAGAGTGAACATCAACATCTTAGGAATCAGTGAACTAAAAGGGATAGGGATGGGAGAATTAAATTCAGATGACCATTGTATCTATTACTGAGGGCAAGAATTCCTTACAAGAAATGGAGTCAAAAAAGCCCTCAGAGTCAAAAAGAGAATCTGAAATGCAGTACTTGGGTACAATCTCAAAAATGACAGAAATGATCTAAGTTCATTTCCAAGACAAACCATTCAACATCACAGTAATTCAAGTCTATGCCCCAACAACAGATGACGAACCTGAAGCTGACCAGTTCTATGAAGACCTACAACACCTTCTAAAACTAACACCAAAAAAAAAAGAGATGTCCTTTTCATCACAGAGGATTGGAATGCAAAAGTACCAAATCAAGAGATACCCAGAGTAACAGGCAAGTTTGACCTTGGAGTAAAAAATGAAGCAGGGCAAAGGCTAACAGTTTTCTCAAGAGAACACAATGGTCATACCAAACCCTTTTCCAACAACCCAAGACACAATTCTGCACATGGAAATCACCAGATGATCAATACCTAAAGCAGATTGATATATTCTTAGCAGTTGAAGTTGGAGAAGTCATCAAAAGTCAGTCAGCAAAAACAGGACCTGGAGCTGACTGTGGCTCTGAGCTCCTCATTGCAAAATTCAGGCATAAATTGAAGAAAGTAGAGAAAACCATTAGACCATTCAGGTATGACCTAAATCAAATCCCTTATGATTATACAGTGGATGTAACAAATAGATTTAAAGGATTAGATCTGGTAAAGAGTGGCTAGAGAACTATGGATGGAGGTTTATACCATTGTACAGGAGGCAGTGACTAAAACCACCCCAAAGGAAAAAAAAAAAAAAAAAACAAGGCAAAGTGGTTAGCTGAGGAAACTTCACAAATAGCTTAAGAAAGAAAAGAAGGGAAAGGCAAGGGACAAAGGGGAAGATACACCTAACCAAATGCAGAGCTCCAGAGAATAGCAAGGAGACATGAAGCCTTCTTAAATGAACAATGTAAAGAAACAGAAGAAAACAATCAAATGGGAAAGACTAGAAATCTCTTCAAGAAAACTGGAGATAGCAAGGGACATTTCATGCAAGAATGGACATAATAAAGGACAGGAACAGTCAAGATCTAACAGAAGCAGAAGAAATTAAGAAGAGGTGCCTAGAATATACAGAACAACTGCACAAAAAAGGGTCTTAATGACCCACATAAGCACGATGGTATGATCACTCACCTAGAACCCAACATCCTGGAGCAAGAAGTCAGAGTGGGCCTTAGGAGGCATTACTACAAACAAAGATAATGGAGATAACGGAATTCCAGCTGAGCTACTTCAAATGATAAAAAAACTACACTGAAAAGGTATTGCATCAACATGTCAGCAATGCTGGAAAACTCAATAGTAGCCACAGGACTGAAAAAGGTCAGTTTTCATTCCAATCCCAAATAAGAGCAATGCCAAAGAATGTTCAAATTACCATATAATTGCACTCATTTCACACGCTATCAAAATTATGCTCAAAATCCTTCAAACCAGGCTTTAGTAGTATATGAACTGAGAACTTCTAGATATCCAAGCTGCATTTAGAAAAGGAAGAGGAACCAGGGATCAAATTGCCAACATTTGCTGGATTATAGAAAAAGTAAGGGAATTCCGAAAAAACATCTGCTTCATTGACTACACTAAAGCCTTTGAATATGTGGATCACAACAAACTGTGGAAAATTCTTAAAGAGATGGGAATACCAAACCATCTTACCTGTCTCCTGAGAAACCTGTATGGGGGTCAAGAAGCAACGTCAGAACCAGACATGGAACAATGGACTGGTTCAAAATTGGGAAAGGAGTCCAACAAGGCTGTATACTGTCACCCTGCTTATTTAACTTAAATGCAGAGTACCTCATGTGAAATGCCAGAATGGATAAATCACAAGCTGGGATCAAGACTACTTGGGAGCAATATTAACAACCTCAGATATGCAGATGATATCACATAAATGGCAGAAAGTAAAGGGGATCTAAAGAGTCTCCTGATGAAGGTGAAAGAGGAGAGTGAAAAAACTGGCTTGAAACTCAACATGAAAAAAACTGTAGCATCCGGTCCCATCACTTCATGGCAAATAGAAGGGTGAAAACTAGTAGCAATGACAAAATTTATTTTCTTGGGCTCCAAAATCACTGCAGATGGTGACTGTAGCCATGAAATTAAAAGACGTTTGCTCCTTGGCAGGAAAGCTATGACAAATCTCAAAAGTATATTAAAAAGCAGAGATATCACTTTGCTGACAAAGGTCCGTATAGTCAAAGCAGTGGTTTTTCCAGTAGTCACGTCCAGATACGAGAGCTGGACCATAAACAAAGCTAAACACCAAAGAATTGGTGCTTTCAAATTGCAATGCTAGAGAAGATTCTTGAGGGTCCCTTGGACTGCAAGGAGATCAAACCAGCCAATCCTAAAGGAAATTAACCCTGTACTGGAAGGACTGTTGCTGAAGCTAAAGTTCCAATACTTCTGCCACCTGATTCAAAGAGTCAACTCACTGGAAAAGAACTTGATGCTGGGAAAGACTGAAGGCAAAAGGAGAAGGGGGCAGCACAGGATGAGACAGTTAGATTGCATCAACAACTCAATGGATATGAATGTGAGCAAACTCCAGGACACAGTGGAGGACAGTCTGGTGTGCTATAGTCCATGGAGTCGAAAAGAGTTGGACACGACTTAGAGACGAAACAACAACATTCTTATATAAAACAAGCTTTCGTGAGCCAATTATCATCTCAGGGTATACTGCTGAAAATTTAATTTCTGAAACTACTGACTCCAGTCTGGCCCTCTTATGAAGACTCAACTGAGAGTAAAATCCTCTGAAGATCATACCTAGGAGTCCAATTATCACTAAATACCTCCAACTCATCTTGTTAAGCACCATGTACTTTTCTGTTCCTAAAAATAACCATGAGGGCTTGCCTTGCTTTCCTTTCTTTTGTGGGTCCTGTCATCCAAAACCTGGCTAGACACACAACAGATCCAGCATTCTCTTCCTTTCTGTCCCAAAGATAAATATACAAATACAACCCATTTTAAACACTTAAGTGTTAATGTCTATGAAAAACAAACTGGGGTAACAAACTCTAAAAAGTCTTGGTACTCTTTCCCTGCTTTTATGGTGCTATTTTTACTCCCCTTTCACTCTTTAATGTTTCTCCTAATTTTCCAACTGCTTCTACTTAAAATCCTTTACATGCTGTCTGGCTTCTCAGTGTTGGTATTCTTCCCTCTTTTCAATTTCCCAAGGCAATTCATCCATTCTAATGGCTTTAAACAGCAATGATCCTCCAACCACATCTCCATCCTCTAGCCCTTATCTCTAACCTAAGATCTATATTTCTACTATTTCCTGTACACTTCCAAGTAGAAGACTCCCAGGCATTTTCTTGGGAGTCTATCTTAACTAGCAACATTCCCCAAGTCCTCACATATATTTTAGGCCCCCATATGTCACTCCTTTGGACACAACATTCCCAAGCAGCTTCTCTGGTCGGTTTCAGTGCACACTTACTGAGGAGCTGTCAGATGACTCATTTTTCTCACACTTTTGTTTCTTGCTTTTTTTTTTCTTCTCTTTCTTTACTTTTTTTGAATGCTTGCCTTTTTTCTTCTTTTTCTTCACACAGTCTTCCTATAAATAATCATTTTGCAGAGGCAAGAATTTAGTTTTAGCTTACTTTAAAAGTAAGTGTTTTGAGGAAAAGATCTATGTCCTAAAACACTTTAAATCTTTCATGAAAGGAGACAAGGAATATGATTAAATAAATAGCTTCTTCTAAAAAATTTTAACGTGCTTCTATATATACATACTACTAATAAACCATATAGCTAAAATTTCTTGGAAAAATATAAGGGAAGTTTTAATTTATTTGTATATATATTGACACACAGATATAATCAAACATATATATGAAAACACAGCATGTATGTATCTCCTTCAACGGGCCCAAAAGAATTTATAGATTACTAACCACATAAAATCTAACAAGACAGTACAAATTGTGGGAAGAGAAAGCAAGAATTGAGACATCTCCCTTAAAAAAAAAAAAGCACCACATTAAGCTTAAAACACTTAACATTTTAGATCCATAAACTTGCCACAAGTGGACTGGAAACTTGGATCTGAGCTTTCTACCAGCCAACTCAACTAACACAATCTTTCCAATATCATGTCCAAAATATTAATATATACTACTCTAGCCAGAGACACAAATATTCAGTACTGTCAACTATGTGATTTTCATTCTATAACTTGTAAAAAAGTTTATAAAGTTGCTCCTCCAGTATTAACTTGAATAAGTGCAAAAAAAGCAAAAAAAAAGCTTACACCAAGTAAGCCTGCAAGTATTCACCTGTGAGATTTGTTCAACTCTCTTAATCACATCAGGTAGCATCCATGTTTCCTCACCCCGAAGTCGTTTAAGTTCTTTACGCCTTTCTTCCTTTTCAAAATTGGCTTTGGCCTAAAACAGTGAAAAAAGAAAAATTAACAACAGTTCCACCTACTTCTCACCAAAAAAGCAAAACAGAAACTTGCCCCACTTTCATGTAAGGCTCACCACAAATTTGCTTCTATCAAAGTGTGTGTGCCACCGAGGAAACTAGATCCGAAAGAGACACGTGCACCCCAGTGTTCATCGCAGCACTGTTTATAATAGCCAGGACATGGAAACAACTTAGATGCCCATCAGCAGATGAATGGATAAGGAAGCTATGGTACATATACACAAAGGAATATTACTCAGCCATTAAAAAGAATTCATTTGAATCAGTTCTAATGAGATGGATGAAACTGGAGCCCATTATACAGAGTGAAGTAAGCCAGAAAGATAAACACCAATACAGTATACTAACGCATATATATGGAATTTAAAAAGATGGTAATGATAACCCAATATGGAAAACAGAAAAAGAGACACAGATGTACAGAACAGACTTTGGGACTCTGTGGGAGAAGGCGAGGCTGGGATGTTCTGAGAGAACAGCACTGAAACAAGTATACTATCACGGGTGAAACAGATCACCAGCCCAGGTTGGATGCATGAGACAGATGCTCAGGGCTGGTGCACTGGGAAAACCCAGAGGGATGGGATGGGGAGCAAGGTGGAGGAGGGATCGGGATGGGGAACACATGTAAATCCATGGCTGATTCATGTCAATGTATGGCAAAAAGTACTACAATATTGAAAAGAAATTAGCCTCCAACTAATAAAAATAAATGAAAAAAAAAAAGTGTGTGTGCATGCGTACTAAGACACTTCAGTCGTGACAGACTCTTTGCAACCCCATGTAGCTTGTCAGGCTCCTCTGTCCATAGAATTCTCCATGCAAGAATACTGGAGCGGATTTTCATGCCCTCCTCCAGAGCATCTCCCCAAACCTAGGGACTGAATCTGCATCTCTTACATCTCCTGCACTGGTGGGAGACTAACACCACCTGGGAAGCCCCTCCCAACGTGTAAAAAGATTAAAAACAAATTCTCCTTCCACATTACCAACTGCATGACCAATTAGCAATCACTAGTGAAATGAGCCGGACTTCCCTGGTAGCTCAGCTAGTGAAGAATCCACCTGCAATGTAGAAGACCTGGATTCAATCCCTGAGTTTGGAAGATCCCCTGAAGGAGGGCATGGCAATCCACACCAGTATTCTTGCCTGGAGAACCCCATGGACAGAGGAGCCTGGTGGACTACAGACCATAGGGTCGCAAACAGTCAGACACAACCAACTGAGGAAGCACAGCACAGTACAGTGAAATGAGCCACAAATCAAGGACAGAATCTTGGGACCTACTGTAGACCTCTTCCTCTCCCCTAAGCTCCCTACCTCAGAAATGACTTGAATCTCTTTTCCCTTCGCTATCCCACTGATAGTGCCTGATACTTCTGTAACTGTTAGGAGACTGACCTCCATACCTTCAATCTGCAATGTCCATAACCATCTACCGACACCCTCAAAGTGCTTCAAAAAGAATCACCTTTCTAAAAACAAATGATCATACTGATAATTTTTTATCATTCAAAAACAGTCAAACTAAGTAACAGCTTCCAAAGAAGTTGTTCCTGCCTTTTCATTCTCTCCCCAAATTGCAAAGCTAGGATTGGTCCTTCTCAAAACTCTGTACATAGCTATACTATAAAATTTATCATAGCTTACAAACCCACTCCCTCCAAAAACTGCCTGAAATATCAGAGACAAGGATGAAGGATATTTATTATACACATACATTCAGTTCAGTTCAGTTGCTCAGTCGTGTCCTACTCTTTGCGACCCCATGAATCGCAGCAGGCCAGGCCTCCCTGTCCATCACCAACTCCCGGAGTTTACTCAAACCCATATCCATCTAGTCGGTGATGCCATCCAACCATCTCATCCTCTGTCATCCCCTTCTCCTCCTGCCCCCAATCCCTCCCAGTATCAGGGCCTTTTCCAATGAGTCAACTCTTCCCATAAGATGGCCAAAGTATCGGAGTTTCAGCATCAGTCCTTCCAATGAACACCCAGGACTGATCTCCTTCAAGATGGACTGGTTGGATCTCCTTGCAGTCCAAGGGACTCCCAAGAGTCTTCTCCAACACCACAGTTCAAAAGCATCACTTTTTCAGCGCTCAGCTTTCTTCACAGTCCAACTCTCACATCCATACATGACCACTGGAAAAACCATAGCCTTGACAAGACGGACCTTTGTTGGCAAAGTAATGTCTCTGCTTTTTAATATGCTCTCTAGGTTGGTGACAATATTACATATGCTGAAATCAGGGACCACCGACCTTTCACCTCTGGAAGACTTATTGCCATTTTCTTGCCCTGTAAAATTTGACTGCAGTCATTATACCTTCTCCTTCCTGTCTCCTATACCGGTTCCTTATTTGCATTTAAATGTATTTTAAACGGTTATAGCGTACAACAAATAAAATAATCATCATCACTTGTTTCACCTTACATTGTTCTCTAACTACAACTTTTCCCCTTCACTGCCACACTTCCTACATCTTGTGAGATAATTCAATAGTACAGTTTACTTGCCCCGTTCCTTATTTTACCTCTACTCATTTCAATCTTAATGAAAAACATGTTTCTCAACTGTTTTCGAGGGGCTAAATTTTTTAAATCGCTGTCTCAATCGCTGTTTGGTTCAGTACGGGTTTGCAATAAGCCGGATAACTGACACAAATAACTTAAAAGAAGAATGAAACGATCTAGTCTAACGTGCCTTACACGAGTTCCTGAAAACGGAAAATTTCATTTCAGATATAGCAAGAGATACAGGGAAAGTAGTGGGGTCCCTCGAAAGTGCGCAGCACAGGTGATCGAGTGATACAAATGTCAAGCACGGATGATTTAAACGATAAGGAACGTCAGAGGAAATAAACAAGTTTTCTGGAAAAGAATATGAGCAACTGGAGCCTTCCAGAGCATCTAAGAGACAGAGGACACCCAACAGTGTGCGAACATCCCAAAGGAAAACATCTATCCCCACACCACTAGATAAGGTAAGATACTGAGGAACTAAAACAAGAAAGGGTGCGGGGAGGCAGGAGAGCTAGAGGCCTGACTCCCAGAAAGCCTCCACTCTCAATTCTAAGTGGCTCCCAAAGCCACAAAACTGAGGTACCTGGCGCAACACCTCGGCCCTGGCAATTCGAATCTGTTCTTTACGCTCTTCGACGCTACTCGCACTTTCAAATCTACCACCGGCAGCCGCCATAGTTGTTATCGTAAAGCTAGGAAGCCGGCAGAAAAACCTCGGTTTACGACTGTCGTAATTTAGTAAACAAACCGGGACTTCCGACCGGGGGAAGGAGGGGCTCTGCTCCACCAAAAGAGCATGCGCAAACTGTCGCTTATTATTTCGGTTAATTGTCTAACCCTTAGGTTTGGAAGTGGAGAAGGAAATAGCAACCCACTCCACTGTTCTTGCCTGGAGAATCCCAGGGACGGCGGAGCCTGGTGGGCTGCAGTCTATGGGGGTCGCACACAGTCGGTGACGACTGAAGCGACTTAGCAGCAGCAGCAGCAGCAGTAGGTTTGGAAGAGACAGAAGGTTAAGCCAAGAGGTTACTCTCCTTCGTATATTGGGTTTGCCCTGAACAGGACTTGTGTCAGCGTACATTTATTACGCAGTTTGCACGGGACTGACGGCATGTCACAGCTGTCTCCCCTTAAAACTTCCGCAGTGTGTTTGGCATTCGGGAAGATTAAACGTACATGTTGCAAAGATTTCTACCAAAGTGCCCTTATCGCCAAAGAGGTTTCCCAGTGCTGAAGGAATGGACTAAAGGAAGGCTGGCCAGAAAGACAGTGCAAACTAGCAGGAGAGAAAACTTGCTTTGAAGAGTCAACATTTTGCTTTGGTGGATTTTTTTTTTTAAAGCCCAGTATATGGAAAAGTCATGTGAATTTTGCATTGCACTTCATAATTTATACGTGTTTAAAGTGTAACTTTTTTTCTGACCTCATATTGTTTGTTCATACTGTCTCAGTAACAAATGGGAAAAAAAAAAAAAAGAGGAATGAGTTTTTTTCTTTGCCTTTCCTGACGATAAAGAAAATAGAGCAACGAGCAGGTCTGAATATTCCTAGTTTTGTTTTTTTTGTTTTTGTTTTTGTTTACTTTAATAGCTCCTAACTCTGAATGTCTGTAACTAAATTTGCTCTTCTGCCCCCTAACTCTGCAAGAGCGACACTTCACACCTATTTTCTTTTGACTCTGTGTTAAATACATCGACTATCTGGTGTGAAGAAGGGGGCATCAAAGGATGAGAAGGCTGGAAGGCATCACCTATTCAATGGACATGAACTTGGGCGTGTGGGATGATGAGGGACAGGGAGGCCTGGCATGCTGCAGTCCACGGGGTCCAAGAGAGTACGACATGACTGGGTGACTGAACAACAACATCTGGTGTTTACCCTTATAACACACTTGCTCTTGTAGTTGCATATCAGAAAGAAGCCTACAGAGCCACCCAACTGCCAGACTCAATTGCTGGGATACTAACACCAGCCTATGGCTGATACAATGCAAGGAGGAGAAATCTAAATTCTCACACTGTTTCCTTCAGGATGGACTGGTTGGATCTCCTTGCAGTCCAAGGGACTCTCAAGAGTCTTCTCCAACACCACAGTTCAAAAGCATCAATTCTTTGGTGCTCAGCTTTCTTTATAGGCCAACTCTCACATCCATACTTGACAACTGGAAAAACTATAGCTTTGACTAGACGGACCTTTGTTGGCAAGGTAATGTCTCTGCTTTTTTAATATGCTATCTAGGTTGGTCATAGCTTTTCTTCCAAGGAGCAAGCATCTTTTAATTTCATGGCTGCAGTCACCATCTGCAGCGATTTTGGAGCCCCCAAAAATAAAGTCACTCATTGTTCCCCCATCTATTTGCCATGAAGTGATGGGACTGGATGCCATGATCTTAGTTTTCTGAATGTTGAGTTTGAAGCAACTTTTTCACTCTCCTCTTTCAGTTTCATCAAGAGGCTCTTTAGTTCTTAGATTTCTGCCATAACGGTGGTGTCATCTGCACCAAAGAAGCAGCTGGGGAAAGTCAATAGATAATATTTTGGTGAAGGAGAGTTCAGTGCAATCAAGTTCTTACTTTACAAGAAGTTTTCTGCTAGTCATAAGGATCTGATGTCATCAAGAATCAATTTAGTGCTTTTCTAGATATGAGAAGATGCAAGGATTAGGATCATGAAATCAGTTCCTAAAAATATCCAACTATCTAAAGACTGGATACAGGCGGAAAAGGGGATAACAGAGGTTGAGATGGTTGGATGGCATCACCAACTCAATGGACATGAGTTTGAGCAAGCTCCGGGAGACGTGAAGGAGAGGGAAGGCTGGCGTGCTGCAGTCCATGGGGGGGTCACAGAGTCATGACTGAGTGACTGAACAACAACAATGTAAAGACCTGTCCCACCAGATTCCCTGGAGCACAGAGTGCCTCATTCCACCCTGAACTCACTCTAGGGATGTTGAAGGTCAACAGCTGCAGCGGCACAGGGTTCAGTCTCTGCAGAGGCAGATGGTAAATGCCCTTGTTGTTCAGTCAGAGGCAATGCTCTTGGCTAGTGCCAATTTGTAGTTGACGGGTAAGCACCAACTTGTAGTTAACAACATAAACTATATTGAGGTATGTCGACTAAAATGTTATTCACAACCTAAAAGCCGAGAGTTACGTTTTATTGAAAAGAAATTTTTAGGATTTCAAGGCTAGGAGGCAGTATCTCAAGAAACCCTGAAAAACTGCTCTGAAGATGCAAGGGGAGTAATCAGGATATACAGAAGTTTTGCAACAAATGGTACATAGTCTGAACATCAAAAGATGATTAGTTAAAGAAAACCAGATATGTCAAGGAATTTAGCACTTTTCTATGTATGGAAAGATGCAAAATTCTGGGCTCTTGAAATCATTTCTTTGATATGCATCTCAGCTATCTCGTGCCAGTATCTTGTGTTTCTGTATCCTGAGTTTCCTCAGGGCTCACCATGGGGAGCAGCCATAGTCTAATGGCAGCTAGATGGTAAGTATTCTTTCCTTCCTAGAGATTTCCTCAGGATTCAGCAGCTCACCATACATTGTGGCAGCAACGTCTGGTGACTTCAACCTCCTTTGTTTACTGATATGGCAAGTAACATTCTGTTTAACAGGTAATTATGCTTTCTTTTCAAGTTTCATAGAACCAAATTTGTGTTTGCAGGAAACTTTCCAAGGAGTTTCTACTTCACCTATCTGTGAAAATCTTTTTTTTTAAATTTCTCTCCCCCCTCCCTTACTTTTTGCTTTGTATTGGGAATTAGCCAATTAACAATGTTGTGATAGCTTCAGGTGAAGAGCCAAGGGACTCAGACGTACATATTCTTGTATCCATTCTTCCTCAAACTCCCCTCCCATCCAGGCTGCCACATAACAGTGAGCAACAGAAGGGCCTTGTTGGTTACTCGTTTTTTTGTCTTTCTCTGTTTGACTTTTTTAAAATTTATTTATTTTTAAGTGAAGGATAATTGCTTACCATACTGTGTTGGTTTCTGCCATACATCAACATGAATCAGCCATAGGTATACACGTGTCCCCTCCTTCTTAAATCTCCCTCCCACCTCACACCCCATCCCACCCCTCTAGGTAGTCACAGAGCATCAGTTTGAGCTCCGTGAGGCATAACAGCCAATTCCCACTGGCTGTTTCACATGTGGTATTGTCTATGTTCCCAGGCTCCTCTCTCTATTCGCCCCATCCTCTTCTTCCCCCTCTGTGTCCACGTCTGTTCTCTATGTCTGCAACTCCATTACTGGCCTGCAAATAGGTTCTTCAGTACCATCTTTCTAGATTGCATTTATATATGTTAATATGTGATATTTGTTTTTCTCTTTCTCTTCCTTCACTCTATAATAGACTCTAGGTTCATCCACCTCATTAGAAGTGACTCAAATGTATTCCTTTTTATGGCTGAGTAATATTCCCTTGTGTATATGTACCACAGCTTCTTTATCCATTTGTCTGTTGATGGATATCTAGGTTGCTTCTATGTCCTAGCTATTGTAAATAGTGTTGCAATGAACATTAGGGTACATGTGTCTTTTTTCAGCTTTGGTTTTCTCAGGATATATACCCAGTAGTGGCATTGCTAGATCATATGGTCTTTGTATTCCTAGCTTCTTAAGGAACTTCCATACTGTTCTCCATAATGGTGTTACCAAGTCTATGCTCACTCTGCTTGCCGCGGAATAGGTCAGTAAATATGAGTTGAGGTGTTGAAGCAAGGAAGAACATTTTATTTGGAAGGTCAGCTGACCAAGAAGATGGCAGGCTTGCCATCTTGTCAGGGCCTGGAAGCCAGATTCTTTTATGGATCAGAGATGGGGGGAGGTAAGGATACAAATAAAAAGGCCATTTAATTCTTGCAAATATGTCCTAGAATGGCAAGCCTCAGGCAGGAAGATGTGTTAATTTCACTTTCTTATAGCTCTTCACAGGTGGGCAGGGTCAAGCCATCTCCCTGTGAGCCAAACAAAGGCACCCTAATCCAAAGGTCAGGCTGAGGGTGCAGGCAGGGCTCCCTAAGGCAGACCGTTAGGTATGCCTATAATAACAAAAACTCCAAAATAAGAATTGAAGTCACAGAAGTAAATCCAATATGGATTCAAAATTAACCCTTACAGTTACAGTGATTGTATCAATTTGTATTCCCATCAACTATGCAAGAGGGTTCCTTTTTCTCCACATCCTCTCCAACAGTTATTGTTCGTAGATTTTTGATGATGGCCATGGTGTGAGGTGATACCTCATTGTAGTTTTGATATGCATTACTTTAATAATGAGAGATTTTGAGTTTTCACGTGTTTGTTGACATCTGTATGCCTTCTTTGGAGTCTGTTTAGGTCTTCTGCCCATTTTTGTGTAATATTACATTGTACCACATCTTCTTTATCCATTCGTCTGTCATTGGACTTGTAGGTTATCTCTTCTTTATCCATTCGTCTGTCATTGGACTTGTAGGTTATTTCTATGTCCTGGCTATTGTAAATAATGCTGCAATGAGTATCCGTGTACATATGTACTTTTAAATTATAGATTCCCTGGGTATATGTCCAGTAATGGGATTGCTAGGTCACATAATAGTTCTATGTCTAGTTTTTTAAGGACATGCCATACGGTACGGCTTAATGGCTGTGTCAACTTAAAATTCCACCATCAGTGCAGGAAGGTTCCCTTTTCTCTACA